CCATCTTGAATCAGATCGTAAAACAAAATTATGTGCGGTCCTATAATGTCTAACGTATATACCAAGTTTGAACAAAATCCATCTGTAAACAGCCGAGAAATGCTTGATTTTGACGATTTTTAGCACAAAAATGGCTGCCATTTGGCCATCTTGAATCAGATCTTGAAACAAATTGACGTGCAGATGTATAATATCATGTATGATGTATGCGTGAAGTTTGATTGTGATTGGTCCTGGCCTTTTCTAAGATACAGGTCCGACCGCACACACAGATGCACGCACGCACGGACACACAGAGGTCAAAACGTCCGAACGGGGACTAATTAATAATTTTTGATGGGGGGGGGGGTCAGGGTAAATTTGGGAAATTCAGTATGACACATCATTCTGATTGATAAAAACAAGACTTAACCTCAGGTAAAATCATGTAGGAAAACATGATGGGAATTGCTTTGCATCAAGAGTTTGTGTACAATTGGAAACATTCAACAACAACAAAAATGATGAAGATCTTTTAACGTTTTTGGAATTTATGATATGAAAGTGTCACTTTTATATTATAAATTTCAAAAAACAGTCACACATATGCGCTAATTTGTATAATTACAATTTATATTCCCAATTAACATACAACCTGCTAAAAGCCTCCATCAAATTGCATAGACATCAGCGGGCGATGTCTTCTTACCTATGATAGGTGTTCTCAATGTTAAATGTTTGATCAGCACAGAATCGAGTGACTTGCTTATGGTTTGAAAAGAACTGTGCCAGATCTGTTGCCAGTATATAGTGACGTATGTACCCTAATACCTGGAACAAAGATCACAGAGAAACATGGTAACTAATATGCAAATGAGGTAATTAATATGCATGGTAGCTTCATTTAAAGAAGGGCTCTGAAAATGATTTGCATAATAATTTGCATAATTATCAGCAATTTGCAAGTGACCTGAGAAAAAAAATAATTTTGTTTATTGTCAACAGATTATTGTGAGTTGGATAAAAGAAAGAGTTGGCAATTCTGTTCACTGTAACAGGCATGCAAAATACAGCATGACGTTTTTTCACAGTATTTCATGTAATGCCGTAAAGGTGCACTGTACAACACTAAATGGCGTCAATCTCGGATGATTGAAAAGTTACCTAATGATACTGACAATTGAATCAATTAGATGAGCTGTATAACCATGTATGATGGATGGATATATGAATTTAACATTGGAAAAACTTGCTGTTCAAAAGTCTGACTTGAACGATAAAAACACACAGACTGGCCATGATATTAATCTTGCTGCCAGTAACATTTAAACCTCACCTGTTTATAAACATCTGAAGTGAGATGATCAAATATATTGTGTCCATCTTGTTGTAGTATAGTGACAGTTTGGTTGAAATGATGTTGTTCCATAACAGATGTCGAATACAATGACGCTAGTGCCGTCTCATATTTCACCATGAACTGGTTGGTGTAACCACGGTGATCTAAATCATGGCATATACAAGCTATAATCAGCGCTTGTCTCTGAAAAACACAAATGGTGTTGACACAATCTTATAAAGCTGCAGAGTATATATGTATGAATAAGTAGATATAAGAAAACTAGACCATGATGGAGATGGCATTAAAAACCATAGAATGATAGATGGCTGAAACTTCCTTAATGTCAGTTGTTAAGTGATTTGTATACAAGAAAATTTTGATTATAGATCCAAAATTGTATCTCCTATCTTTTTGCCCTCTCTCCCACCTAATATTCAGTGTGCTTTGTAACAGTGCTCATTTTATGGAAATCATGAGTAAAAATGAAAAGCAACAAAATCATAATGAGCCATCCAGCTTGCTGGGAAGATCGGTCTTTAAGAAAAAAGAAAAATTGTATGCGACATAATCTATAGGTGACTTGAAGGCACAATCACACAAGTCCCTGATTTCGCTTATTTTACACATACATGTACTTTGTTTATAAAATGTGAATTTCATTTTATCAAATTTATCAGACTGACATGTCATGTTTTTCTAGATCACTATATCACTAGGATTTTCTGTTGCATCAAAAAGGCACCAGTGAATTACGCAAATTATTGTGCATCAGAGACTTGTCATAACGGCTTTAATAACTAGACCACGATGAAAATATGGCACATTGTATGGGAAAACATAGATGGCTAAAACTCTTTGATGTCATTGGTGAAGAGAATCTTTAAATCATATGTCCAAGTATATACCGCCCTCCCCCAACATATATTGAGTAGATGCAGTACACTGCGTTATTAAAGTATTTGTGTACCAACTTTTGCCACTTTTCCCAAAATTAACCATCATAGTCTTTTCAAACAACTTGACAAGCGACAGAGATTTTTTCTGTTCATCTGTGGCATAATCTTCCGATCTCTTAAAAAACTTTGATATCTTTTGCATCCGGTTACTACAGTCCTTTGTTTGCTGCTGTAAACGTTTCGACATTGTGAATTTCCCGCGACGGCATCCACTTGTGCAGACGGCAATAATAACAAAGAATCTAATATGGCGAGCTCATTATCATAAAAAATGGTAATTTTTATTAAAGTGTGCCGAATCGATCGGAAGCATGAATCGCGAATACCGAAGTGTTTGACTCGAACTAGGCCGAACGTGTCCGAAGCGGGATTCACCCCATCCCCGACGTAACAAATGCGGGACAGGCTGACAGTGCCCTCTATGGTAAGAAAGTTGATATCTTACCTCTAACTCGGTGAATATTTCCTGTTCATGATCTAACATTCGGTACATACAGTGCGCGACATTAAACGCATGCCACCAGTTATGATACGGCACTTTATGATAATTCTTACGCACGGATAGCGTGAATCTTACCAATTTCTCATGATCAAAACTAAAAAGAAAGTAATAATAATATTTACACCAACTTTATTCTAATCTCAACTTATTGTAGATTGTCTTAGAGCAACTATGACTATATAATTACTATAATATATTAATTTTATGAAGAAAAACAAGAATATGAAGTAAATCTTACCAGTCATCCCCAAACATGTCACGAATGATCTTAACAAATAACTTACACAAGTCATCAGATAATATTGGCATGTAGTTAAAATCAAATCTGTATGGCGGGAAATAGAGTGTGAAGGTAAAGCATTATAAAAATGTAATAATAACATGATGTAATGTGACCTTATTGGCACAAAGCCAATGAAACTGATGAGTTTATTCTCTTTATGTTTACATCATTATCACTATGGTCACCAGTGAGAGAAAGAGAGAAATATCCCCATCGGCAATTGAGACAAACCAATGCTGTGTTGTGCAGACGTAGTTTAATGGCAGATTACAAGGACGTGTACAGAGAAGTAAAAACAAACAAACAGAACGAAAGAACAACTCAGACGATCGTGTGATGGCGTGATACCCCTTCCGTTTCTCCCCCTAACAATTTATGTATGATATTAAATGTCACAATTGAATGTCATAAACTTTAGTTCTGATACTGTAATTCGAGTATAGTAATATGAACAACACGAAAATATACATTTACAGGATTGTTATAACATAATCAACATGAACACAATTTTGGGTGGCGCTAGGCTCTCACCCCGAAGTTAAGGCATTATTATGGCCCAAGCTAACAACCTAAATTTAAATTCATGGGTGGCGCTAGGCTCACACCCTACATAGGCATTATTATGGCCTTGAATTCATTCCATTACCCAATTTCCACTCAGTTGCCATCCAGGTGGCTTTCTTACTCTGGAGGATCGACGAGGCATAATATGATCAGCTGGCTCCTCATTATTGTCACCTCTTTCTGGTGAGGCTTGAGATAAGGTTGGGGTGACCATGGTAGTAGG